CCTCATGGCAGGAACACATCGTTAACCAAGCCCGGCGCTCTTCAGTCAAGCTCTCTTCTACAATCTTGAAGCTCTGACCAGCTGCTGCTCCTGGTCCATGGCACGAGACAGAAGCAGCATCAGCTACTGGCCGAAGAGCATAGTTGCCGACGGATCAAGCTTTCCAACTCCCCTTCTCGGCCCGATGAGAATTTGTCCACCCGAAACGAGCCTAAGTGGACCATGAAGGCGGCAGCCTGGAGTTCAGCCTCTGCTGTCGTGGCGGAGGTGTTTAGCTCCTGAGAGAGTGTCAAGCCGGCACGTCTGACACGTGGATGTGCATGCATCGGCTCGTGCTTTGAAGTTTGAGAAAGCTGGCAAATCTCAAAGAGTTAGAGTCAGAGCAAAATGAGTAGGCAGCGACTGTTCCACATTACTGCAGCCGTGCTACGCATCACCGCTGGCTGCTCAGAGATATACCGATATACCTCAGTCGCGAAGCACCACGAATGTGCTCCCTGCATGTCCAGCAGAGGCCCGGGTTCGATGCAGCAGAATCGCAGACAGCTAAAATACCCATGATGCTGCAAACACAACACCTGTAGCAAAACTACTTTTTCCTCTCTTCAAGATGATGCAAGGTGCACGCTCATCCAACATGCTCGCAGCTCCGGCAGAATGGCTACAGCCTGGGCTTGAGTACGAGCCGAAGGCTGGATTTAATGGGCAAACCGGAGACTGCAGCAACAAATCATGCATCGGCGGCTCCTGTGCATCTTCTGTCCCTAAACATCCCAGTCCGAAAAAGTCTGACAGGCCACACAAACAAGGTCAATTCGGGAACCCAAAACCAACCACGAAGCCAATCTCGCGAGCAGTGACACGAGCCTTCGGCCCCGCACGGCACCCCGTATTATCGCGAGCCACCCGGCCGCCCCGGCCCGCGCCGCACCCCTGTAAATTAACGACTTCCGCGCACCGGTGGAACTCCGCGCATGCCACGCCGCACCCCGTATCGCGACCCGCCCAAAAACACCTTCGTGCCCCACCCCGTCTGGAGACCCGCCCGGTGGAACATGCCGCGCCACACCCCGTATTGCGACTGGCGGAAGACGCCGCGCGTGGCCCGGTGGAACACGCCGCATCGCAGTATTGCGACCCGCCCACGGTGGAACCCCTGCCTGCGATCTTGCCCCGCGTCGGATCCCGCGGACACATTGGACGCCGAAGACTCTAAACGCTTTCGCTTCGGCGTCGCAGCACGTATGGCGGCCCACGCGGTTGGAAAATCTAAAGGAGAACCCAACTCCCGAGGGGTTTCTGGGAAAAAGCTACCAACAATCGGTCCAAGGATCGAATCGCACTCGATGTTGACCAGGAAAGACAGCGCCAAACCCGTCCCAACGCTTGAGCCATATGTCCGTAGATGTCCGTTTCACGGCGCTCCCCAATTGTGGACACGACTCGAATCGCTGTAATCCCGCCTAGAATCACCGCCAGCGCCACGGCACAAATGCCGAGGCCTTTCCTGGGCACGAAGTACAGAAGAGTCTCATGAGCTGGTTCTGGGACGAGATCCTCTCCGAGCCAGGCTGCGGATTGCGGAAAACATCAGCTGAGATGTGCCTCGAATCGGCCCAGCACACAGATTGCTCAATGCTATGATAGCTCCGCTTGCTTCGATGTTCGCGGGTGCCGGAGTGGAAGGGTATTCAATGTATTCATTTGAATTGGTGCTCGTATTTGCAGCTGCGGAGGGGAAGAAACCCAAACAGAAGTGTATCAGCCGATAGGTCTATGAGGCTTTGTGTCTACTGTTGCTGATGATGTCGTCTGTGCAACGCCACATCGTTAGTTGAAACAGACTGCTTCAAGTTGGAAGTATATCTGATCACGTACTGAACATCTAGGCAACCTAGGTGTAGATATATACAAACGTGTAATAAAGAAATGTATCTGTATGTATACATATATACATATGTGTGTATAGTAGTCACGATGCGTCTGTCTATCTACGTGCGACACATCTACCATGTATGGTACATTATGGTATGCTGCATGCCATTACTTTGCATTACATTGCATTATGTATTTAAACTGAACTACAATACATTGCATTGCCTACCTACCTACCTACCTACCTACCTACGTACGTACGTACATACATACATACATACATACATACATACATACATACATACACATACACATACACACGCGCATACATACACATACACATACACTGACACAGGTACACAGGTACACAGATACACAGGTACACAGGTACGCAGGTACGCGGGTATGCAGGTGCGCAGTTACACAGGTACGGATATAGACACAGATACAGATACACATACACATACACGGAAGCCTTCGAAAACATCATGTTCTACAGTTCTTGGCATGTCGTATGTATGTTATCGCGAAAGTCGACATGTTGTACTGATTGTTTGTTGTGCTGAACAGACCGAAGAGAGTAAGAAGGCACAAAAAACTCTAATGGCAGATCCATGGTACAGGTTGACGTGCCGGACCTTGGCTACGCTGGAGTTTAAGCCGAAACACTCAAAGCAAGGCAATCCTTGATGATGACCGGCCGCCACACGCTATGTCTTTCGGGCGAGGACATGCCAGACTACAACTCAATCCTGTTGCCCTCCGCCGACTTGCTGCCTCGCCGCCATCTCAAAGAGGACCTCTGATTAGCTGCATCTGTGCAGCGCGTGTGATTTTGCACTTCATCAGCATTGATCCGCCAGGTTGCAGCATAGAAAAAAGTGAAATAAGCCACGAGGAGGAGGAAGTCCAGGCGCAGAGACTCGAACGTGCCTCGCATGTGCAACCCTTGCTTTCTCAAGCATATGTTTGACCTGAGTCCGAAGGTCCCTTGCCCCCAGCCCGCCTTCCACGTGGGGCGACCAGACGCGAGCCTGAATGCGTCCCATAAAGCACAGGCCAACCTCGGCTCTCAGGATGGCAGCCACACTTCTTGGCATGCTCTCGGGTCCAGATGCATCTTTCGAGAGACAGTTGCGCAGGGAATCTACTTCCTTGGATCTGGCGGCCTTTCAGGCAAAAAAATGCGGTACTTTTTAAGGACCGTGTCCAGTCAGATGAGCAAAAGGCCGAGACATTTGGAGACAGCAAGTCCTGAATTTCACATCGGGTCGAGAGGATTCTGCGCTCCGGCCCAATATGTGCAGAGGTGAAGGAACACTGTTACAGTACAATGCGGATGATATGCCTCTGCTGCATGCTCTTTGGCTATACATCATAAGGGCAGAGTGATACTCTTCATATCATTCGTCGAAGTGAGATCAACAATCAATCATGAGCCTGCCAACACCTCACAAGAATGGGTAATAGGCACAACAGGAAACGAGGTATGAATAGCGATACAAAAACACAAAGATCGCAAGATAGGAATAGCAATCACAACTAGCCATAATGACGGAGATTATGAAGACCTGGTGCTGTGTCACCAAGCTCGACAGTGTCATTGAGCAATGATGCGCGACTCCGCCAAGCTGCATTGAGGTATGCCATTCGCAGCAGGTCGTCCTCTACAATGACTCTACCATCCATTTACGTTCGGTGCACAAGGCTGCCTTAACCACTTCTTTCAGTCTGACCTTGTGTTGCCAGAGCGGCTTCATCTTCAACTTCCAGCGTAGCTTTGACACTGCCTGCTGCATAAATAAGCGTCAGGGGCACGAGGGAACGGTCACTGCAATGACGACTGGTGCTTGCACGGCTATCCCGAGTCAGGTCGCAAGCATGCATGACAGGACCTTTCAAGTCTGTGCAAAAACCTACCGGCATGCAACAATGTGAACAAGTCCCGCCAGTCGCAGAAGCACATAGAGCATGGCAAGCCTGGGCGAGGTTCGTGGTGCAATGATTGATGATGATGACGATGATGATGATGATGATAATGGCGATGGTGGTGATGATGATGACGATGACGATGACGATGACGATGACGATGACGATGATGATGACGATGATGATGATGATGATGATGATGACGAGGCAGAGGAGGAGGAGGAGTAGGAGGAGGAGGAGGAGGAGGCTCTTCTGTGCGGGGAGGTTAGGTTTTGAAGCAAGGGGAGTAGCGCCACAGCAGCCTCGCGTACCTCGACAGCAAGTTAACCCAAAGTGCGATTCCGACCATGCAGGCAGCACATTGGCCGCCAGCAAACCTTTCAGGTGCAATCCTTTTGTCGCTAATTCTACTTTCTCCATCCACATGCATAGCCCCATGGCCTCTGGCGCCAGGGATCTCCCCGACTAGAGTGCACAACGATGACGGCACTGGGTGACTGGCCAGCTCTCAAAGATGAGGGCGCCCAGGAAGGGGCTGCCCAACGGCTGCCAAGGCAGCAAGGCCTTTGAGCCTCGGAGACAGAAATCCAGATTCGTTTCTTACTTGGGAAGGTGCGCATGGCCAACCGAGAAACAGAAGGATAAGAAATGGAAGACTTGTAGTCTCTGATCCATGAGAGTGATCTACGAGAGCGTACATGCAAGTCACGGAAAGACACTGACGCTACACACGCTTTAGCTGCAGAGCTGAGGAACAATGGTGAGGTGCTGAAGACTGGGGCAGCAGCCAGCTGGCAGCCGTGATGACAGCAGCAGGTAGATAAATGGCAGCCTGAACAGTCGAGGCGCGCTGAACAAGACAACAGACAGGTTCAGACAAGTAGATTCTGTGCAGCAGAATGGCAGGTAGAGACCATATGCACAGGCAAACACCGCAAATGGTGTATCCTGCATCGCCATGGCTGGGCTTGCTGCTTTGCAATTGCTTTACTGCTTGTGCTGCTAGTAGTTGCAACTAAGGCGAATCACGCCCCCAGAGCAAGATGCCAAGTCTGCCTCAGTCTTTCCTGTTACCATGGGCACCCGCTAGCAGCAGAGAGAGCTTCGAAGCCAAGAAACGAAGCGTCACAGACTCAAGGAGCAGTCGCCGTGTGTGGCAGCAGTCCAACTTCAGCAAGTCAATGCACCCTTGCAGCCTGGATCTTCATGTCTCGAAGCAGCTCCACAGCCCTTGCGTCGCATATACAAACTACTGACTCTTCCCCACTGCAAACCGCCTCTGTTGCTACGTAGCAGCTCTGAGCCAAGGCCTTCGAACGGACTTCAGAGACGCCAGGTCCAGCGGCCTCAGAAGCAAGCAGGCGGAAGCAAGTGTCTCCACCAGCGACCGACAAAGCGCGGGTGCAGGAGTACTGCTTTTGACACGGCGGCTCTTTTTTCGTGGCGAACCGAATCGCAAAGAGTTCACTGTCTCGACGACAGGGTTCGGGCAGCGGTCTCCCGAGCATGGATCAGCGGCCGGATTTCCGGTCTGCTCTGCTGCGAGATAACGTCTTCCATCGTGGGGGCTTGAGCTGACTCACAGATGGCAGCAGAGGCGATCTGATCGAGGCCGTGCCCGCACTATGGCCATTAGCTGCAGCCTGAACTGCTCCACCAGGATGAATTTCCATCCAAGTTCAAAGTTCTGCATCTTAAACAGGTGAGCCATGTGTTGCGAAGCTCCTCAGTCGTTAGGACATGCAGAACTGCAAACTTTCCGCTTATGGTGCTGATTTGTGCAGCAATCGCGGATTCTATGCCCGGAAAAAGTCGCTCCGCCTTGCCTGCAGATTGGATTATGCGACATGAACCCCGAGTCTCCTGTACACCTGGCCACGCATTGAGATGGGCAAAGCAGAAGTGACACATGCACGGCAGCCGCAGAGGAATCTGAGCGCTCAGAAAACCTCCTCTTCCTGAGATGTTGCACGGGTTCACAGCATGGTGGGTGATGCGACAAGATGCGACAAGCACGCAAGCCTGTAGACCCTTCTGGTAGGCAGTGTTGCTGCGGCAGCTGAAGGAAGACAAGCGCTTCTTGCCTTCCAACACAGAGCAACATGGCGAAACCATCGAAAGCGGCCAACAGCGGCCGTCAAACCGTCAAAGAGGAAAGGAGATACACAGGGCTGGATTGGGGCTTCGCAGTCGCTTCGCCGAGGAGCTCGAAGCAAGGCCCTCCTTGAGGAGCTGGGCGTTCTCTCCCAGCGAGACATGCACCTTCTGCCTCTCAGGGTCTGCAGCGACTCAGAAGCGGCTGCTTGAGAGCTCCGTGACTCACAGTTGCTGTCACGGGGCATGTGCTCGTCGACGTGCTGCTGCAGCGTCTCAGTCAGATTCTCCGTTTTGATGGCCATGTCCTTTTGCAAAGCCTCCCAGCCTTCCAGCCGCTTCGTTGTGCCCAAATGCTGACACGTGGCGGCACGCAGTAAGTAATTCAAACAAAAACAGGACTATGACCCCACAAGATCGCTGAGTGCCAAGCCTTCCTGCAATGGCTTCGAGTGCAGCTCCACAAGCTCCTTGCCCTTCTCGAGGCTCTCTTGCCCCATGGAAAGCAAGCCTCATAGTCGAATGCAGCCATGTGAAAAAGCGGCCCTCCCCGAAGGCGTTCGGCGCCTCGTGTGAGGTCGCCGAATTTGTATCCACCGCTTGGATCTGCTCCTCGAGCCTCCGAGACGCCCGAAGACTGGGACTGAGACTCCGCGAGACGTCAGTTTCCCGTCTCTCGCCTGCGAGCCACGCGCGAGGACGTCGTCGGCCTGCGCCAAGCCAGCCTGCGCAAAGAAGCGAATAGCACGGCTCCGGGGGCGGGTGCCCGAGCCTAAGCCTGGATCCCGCCTGCAGAGTGTCGGTGCTGTGCTTTACCAGCTCTGCGATGTGCCGGTCCACCAAGACATTTGAGAAGCCGCCGGCCATGGAGGCTATGACCTTGAAGATAATGAGAAGCCCGCACAAGGCTTCGGATGAAGAAGGAAAGTTAAGGAAAAGCTCTAGCCTTCGAAGTCCACACCCGACCATCTCTTGCCAAATGCTTCGAAGCAGCTGAGTCCAAAGGCAGCTGAAAGAGGCGCACTGCAAAGTCGGCATTTGTGTTCCTTGGCGCTTTTGTGGACTGCGTGTCAGCTGCTAGCGGCTGGCGCTGGGTTGCAGATGCACAAAAGGAGTTGAAGTCGCGCAGGTGAAGTCGCAGTGGTGTGCCTTCCATTCCTTCCGCCAAGCCACTCCAGCAGGCGGAGAACTCCATCAGCCTGCCAGCTCGTGCGCAGCTTTGGCATCCCACAGCTTGCACAGTTGCACCGAACAGTGCCTCGGTAGAGCTAAGCACCGCCAACAGCTTCTCGGCCTGGCGTGACCCAGCGTAGCTTTGCTGCGAATAATGTCGACTTCAGATGAGGACGTGAGTCTCCGGGCAATTCGTCCCTGTCCGGCTTGATTGCACACCATTTTGCGGCAAAGATGCTGGAATTCCTTGGACCATTCCTGAGAAAAGAGGCGTGCACATGTTCAACCACGACTCTGATGTGTGGCTTATCATGTTCCTTCGCTGATTTCTCACTGCAGCTCGGATGCGAACAATCTTGCCTGGCTCTCCCTTTTCCATCAGAGGCACGATTTTCTCTTCCGCCAGATCTGCACAGAGCACAAACGGCTGTCAATCCCTTCCCCCTGATATTAAACCGAATGGGGGTCCCCACCGCCCCAACAAAAACTCGGAAAGTGTGTTTATCATTAGGGTGGTATTTCTATCTCAGACTCTACTGTCACTGTCGAGGGATCTTGCTCTTGCTCCCGCGCCGGCTTTTGCCTCTGCTGCTGCCGCGTCTCTTGCTCTTGCTGTTGCTCTTTCTCTTGCTCCCGCTCCTCGCCTGCTCTTGCTCCTCCTGCTGCTCTTGCTCTGGACTCCCTAACGCAAATTAGGTTTACAAGGGCAGGGATGATTTCGTGAGGATTGGCCCCAACATGTGTTTATCATTAGGGGGCGTGTAAAATCCATGGGGGAACGGATTCGACGATTCGAAGGGATCTGTATGATTCTTCTCCGCTGCCAAATTCCAACTTCCAGAAGTCCGATTCACTGCTACGCCTCTCACCTTTGTTCAGCTCGAGCTCGAGCCTGGAACGCTGTTGAGCGCCTGCAGGAGCTGGATCACCCGGCCCGAGGGCTTGAAATCCTCCTGTGAAGAACTTCTGTGGCTGTGGATTCTGTGGCGGCTTTCTGCCGGCTCCTCGGAGAAGCCGTTCACCACCTCTGCCAGAGCCTCCGCCCGGACTCCGCGGAGCAGCGCGATGAGCACGGAGGCATCCACCTCTCTGCCACAGAACCCACGGCAGAATCCCCAGCTGCATCATATGGAACAGCGAGCCTGGTCGACTATTTTGGCCATGTTCTCGGGCTCATGGATCATGCCTGAGGTTCGGTCGAAGGAGTGCAGTGATGACAAGCTTTATTGCATCACGACGCACACCAGGCAAGGAAAGGGCATTGGTTGGGGATCATTCCGCATTGGCTTGATCTTCCTGTCGGTGACTCTTTTCGGTACTGGAATTCTCAGGTGGATGCATGAGAGTGCGAGCTGCGCATGCACATCAATCTGCACAAGGCAGTGGCCCGGTTGAATGCAGGCGTGTCTCCCAAGAGGGGAACAAGCTTGTCCCGCAGAAGTTCCTCTGACTCCTGCATTTTTCATCAGTTTCGTCTCTCAGCTCATCGACAGTGGCACTGTCCCACAATCCTGGAGAAGTGGCACCACCACGCTGCCAATCCGGCCAGGACCGACATGTGCAATGATCGTGGCCAAGGCCTGCAGATTCGGGGTCTGAGGGGCTGTCGCGAGCTGAACCTCTGGACACCATGTGGAGCTGGCGGAGGACTTGTCAGAGCTTTCATGAAACGTGGAAGATGGTTCAAACTCACAAACGTTCGAGAACCTCTTGGATGGTCCGTCAAGAGCTCAAACTGGCGAAGTTATACTATACAGGCTAGAGACATAAAGCCTAAACTCAAAAGCCAATCCCCAAGATGTACGATGTCGCGTGTCATGCACAGCTCCATGGTGAAGGGAACAGAACTGCCCACTCCGATGTTCCCAGTTGCTATCGGAAATGCTTGGGCAGGCATGGGCTGGCTGCCTCGGCGGGGGCCTGTAGAACCTTGGCACAAGAACAGAAACGGCAGACTTCATCCTGTGAGAGGCGTGCCTGCAGCCTTGTAGCGCTGTAGCTGTCTTTGAAACTGAGACACCTCTGGTCTGCCTCTGCCCTGTCCAAGGCACGACTAGGAGTCGCCCTGGCAAAGCCCCGTTCAAGACTTCCAGCATAGCGCCTGAGCGACGAACGCAAGCATTCAATGCACTCCGAAAAAATTCACAGCCGAGGACACGCAGTTCAAGCTACTCTCCACCCATGACGTAGAAGCAGGTGCGGACAGCTCAGCTACCGAGCTATTGCAAGCAACCTAAGCACAGCACCCGTGTCCAGAGAGCAAACGATCTTGGACAGCGCATCTGCTCGTTCGGAGCTGGACAGCAGGGGCACGACCACCTTACAACGGTCACGTGACGAATGCTTGGTAAAAGGGGATTTGAATCAAATTGCAGCCACAAGTCAACTGCGTCACGGAGGAATGCCATGCACTCGAAGCCCGGATAAAATGCCGAACCAGCTGCATCTATGAATTGGCGATCGCTCACCTGTCAAACAGCACCAGATGCTCACGTAAACAGTCGCTGCACTTGCTCCTTCGTGTGGCTCTATATTTCACACACTCAGCAGCTTGACAAACACATGTGACATGCAGGCTGACAACTGACATGATGACCATCAGCTGGAGTAACTCTCTCCAGATGCACCATCTTGCAGGTACGTCTGCACTGCAATCACAGAAGTGTCTTCGTTGGATGGAAACTTCTGCGATGCACTCCATCCCCCCTTGCTTCACTTTGCCTGACCAATTCACACTATCAATACTTAGCCTGTAGGTACAGGGATTACACACACACACACGAATGCTTTCATTTCCAGCGAAAGGGTCCCATGCAACGTGGGGATCCGTCCTCGCAGAGAGGCACGGGTGTGTGCATCCTCAAACTGTGTTATAGATTATGTGGGGAAGTTCTGGAGGGATTCGAATCACCTAGTCCAAACCGTGTGGCGCAATCAAGATCTGTAATCCCGGACATTCCATCCATTCCATCTCAGGCACCAAAGCTCCTCAAAAGGGCATAGCCCTAATGACAAAACTGGTGTTCAAGCGCCGCGTAAGCGGACCCACCACCGTCAGCCAAACGAACTGATGCCATGAGCTGCACCTGCCTGACCAAACAAGGCCGGCAGCATGCCACGCATCGTCTGCGAGGGCACCTGCGCGCAAGGAAGCAAGACGGTCCACCGGCCGAAAGACCGGCATCAGCCTGCAATATTGATCCTTCTACGCCAACGGATAATTACTTTGCGAAGCAAACCTGAATAATTTGTTACAGCCCTGGAACCATCTTGACAACAAAGTGAGACATGGAGCTCATGTTTGCCTGCCTTATCGCAGAAGCGACGCAATGTTCGACCATCTGACCTTTCGGCAACGGATGGTCTCTGCATGATCAAGGTTTCTTTCTTGTAGTCCCTTTCTTGGCTGTGCGCCTCAGCAGCAGCGAAATTGTCTTCCGGGGATGCAGTAGTGTGGCCCCGGTGACCTCGGAACAGCTCCGCTGCCTGCTGTCTGCGGGGCTCGGTCACTCCCCCCACAGGATGCCCGCACTGGGCCGAGTACCAGTTCGGGATGACATCGCAACAAGAGCGGCAGCGCACAGCAGCCGCAATCCATGCCAGAGGACTCTTCTTTGCAAGGGATCTGAAGAAAGGGAGGCTCTTGCCTCTTGTCTTCTAGTTGTTGTCAAATCGCCAGAGGGCGAAGACTTACTTGCTGGAGGTTTGGATTTCACTGCTGGGGCCAAGAAGTTCTGGGCATGTCTTACCACAGCCTAGCGTTCCATTGTGAGTTCTATGCAGTTGCTACTACGAGGTCTCACTGTCCACACTCAGAATGTCTGGCGCAATTCCCCGTAAAGGAGATCACATGGGATGATCCGATGATCCAACTGTTTAGCAATGAGTCTCTGAGTGCAAAAGCTCAATACATGCACCGATTCATCATGAAACCGTTATGAAGGTGACGGTCAGCTGGCACAAAAACCGGAGCGTGACATGCAGAGCGGTTGCAAGGTGACATCTGTCGTTGCAAGAAGCCCCATGGCGCAGCTACCAACAAGGGCCCTGCAGGAAATACCGCTGGCCCGCCGCGAAGCCTGCAGCGGCTGCTGCAGCCCGCATGGCAGCTGTAGCCTGCAGCAGCAGCAGCAGCAGCAGCAGCAAATCCCGCACTGCGCAATCAGCATTGACATCAGCAAAAGACTGCGCATTCTTCCACTTCAGAAGCACAGCTGTGGTTTGCCTTCGTCTCATTGCGACAGGCAAAGATTACTGATGCTCCAGCACGCAGGACAGCCTCAGCGAGCACTGGCAAGAAGATGCGCGAAACTGTAGAGATCAAGAAAGTTCTTACAATGGCTCAGAACCTGCGCCTGGTTGGGGCCTCGGCAACGCTGGTTTCGTAGCCAAGGCCGCTGTTGGCCCCTCAGTCACGAACGGTGCCGCCAGTAGCCGGCAGCTTCCGCGTGGGCACTGGCTCTCGGCAGAACTTGCCGTTGACGATGCGCTATGGAGCAGCACTCTTTGGGAACAAGACTGCAACGAGATGGGTAACAAAGGATCGAGCCCGTCACCAAGAAAACCTCGGTGACACTCCATTCGGCTATGTGATTGCCAGATGCTATGCCACGCACCTGCGCCTCTAAGTTCCCGGCACGATCTCGCAAGCTGCCAGAAGGCGGCACGTACCGAGGCCCGCGAACCAACGCCACGTAAGCCTTGTTGCGAAAGTTTCGTGACTCTCCCATACAAAAGGACCTGCTTAGGGTTTTCGAGTGCCCAGGTGAGCGACGAAGCGCGATCCAACAGTAGATATAGACCGATATGATACTACTGATATAGGTAGATAGATAGCCAGCTAGTGATAGATAGATAGATAGATAGATAGGTAGGCCGACCGACCCACCGAGTGGCAGACAGGCACACAGAGATAGAGATAACAGACAGACAGACAGACAGACAGACAGACAGACAGACAGACAGACAGACAGACGGACAGACAGGCAGACGGAGGGACGGACAGAAAGAGAGACAGACAGACAGACAGACAGACAGACAGACAGACAGACAGACAGACAGACAGACAGACAGGCAGACAGACAGACCGACAGCGCCGACAGACAGACAGACAGGTATACAAACATATTGGATATGCGGAGACGCACTGGCAGCGCACTACACACTTTTGCCACAAAGCATGCAAAGTTCGAAAGTGTCAAGGTCTTGCTTGTGAAACTGCTGAAGCGAAAGCTGTGCTACCCGCAGACCGGAAAGCTGTGGGCATCCGTGGTGGCAGCCTCTCTATCACTTCGGGCCGGCTTGGGCTGAGGCGGCGCTTGCTGACGGCAACGGCTCTGCTGAACCCAGGGGATTCTCACACTGGTATATTTTGTAATTGCCGTCAGCCATCCTCGTCCTCGGACTCGGAGAGCAGGATGTCCTCCGCCTCTTTCACTGCCGCCTGCACGCGAGCTTGAACTTCGTTTTCCTTGTGCTTGCTTGCTCGCTGCACCACTTTCCGTTGTTGCCGCTCGGCACGTTTCTTCTCCTTTAACTTCTGGTTAGCCTCTGTCTGAGTGAGGCAAAGAAGTCCGTCTCGAAGAAACTGCTGCAGAGTAGCTTTGTCAGCCTTCTCTTTGGTCAACACGTCGGCGATGTTCTGCTGGCCGTCGATCCACCTCACATGTGAGTGGGGCCGCCTGACGGCCTCCCGGAGCAAGGCTCCTTCAATGGCCATCCGCTTGTCGCTTGACGTGCTGTTGGCGTCCTTGGCGAGGTAGTCGTAGACAGACCTGGCGTCGGTCACGTAAACCTTTTCTCTTCTCCCGATAATTTCGGGCCAGCTGCGTAAGTCGAGGGAACCGGTCAGGGCCTCCTCCAGCAACACCGTGATCCAATCACCAGCCTCCACTGCCTCCGCCAAGTGGCTGGCTTCTGCCGCCAAAGTGCTCCTGCAGACTCTCTTTGTCATCCCGCTGTGAAAAGCCAGGACATTTGCCTTCACGGCCTTCCCTTGCAGGATCTCCGGGTCGGCGATCAGTATGAAATAGCCGCCGACGCTTCTGTACTTTAGGGCCTCGTTGTGGTCCGGGGTGCCATTGGCGTGGCCGCTGTCCGCCAGGTGCACGATCACGCCACGCTCCAGGTCCACTCCTCGCCAAAACCTCTGGCGAAAATCCGCGCTTCTCCGTGCTTGGCCCACGTACTGCTTCAGCCGGACCAGATCGGCGACTCGGGCTTCGGACTTGGCTCTTTGGATGACGCCGTTCTCGTAGGCTAGGTCGCAACGGAGCTGCCGAGCTATCCAGCCAAGCTCACCAGCTGAGCTTTGGTACTGCTCCATCTCGGCCTCGCTGAGGGGCGAAGCCAACTCCTTCTTCCGATCCCGGGAGACGGGCACAACCTTCATTGACAAAGCGTAGTTCCGCATGGCCACGTCGATGTGCCCTTCGCTTGTCTGCCTCACTTCCCGGCCTCGAAAGATAAAGTCCTTGAAGTGGTTGGTGGCGAACTCGAGGGCCTTCGAGGAGTTGTAGAAGGCCTTCTCTAGGTAGCTCGGGTGGACGCCGCCCTCGATGTCGTCGACGTGTGTCACCAGGATCCCTTTTAACTTCCCCTGCCGTCTAAGGTAAAACAAAGCAGGCTCCAGCTTGCTCTCGGTCCATCCGTCGCTTTCCAGGTGCTCCTTGAGGGCCAGCCAAAAGAGGCGGGCCGCCTCGGCAAAACCATATATAGCTTTGCGGGCACGTAAAAGTTGGCCTGGCTGTAGCCCCGGCAGGCCTCCCTTGGGCTGATCCAAAAAGATTTCTCTTTGAAGGGACTTCCCGGAAAAGTAAGCGTTCTTGATGTCCTTGGCCAAAAGAACAAACTGGTAGTAGGCGCACACACTCAGGCAGAGGCTCTCCGCGATGGCCGATGCTGTTGGGGCATCGCGCCTGTACTCGCCCAGGGCCTTGTCCTTGAACCCTTGTACCACCAGCCTTGACTTTGCCAGAAACTCCTTGTCGACCAGGCCGTCGTTCTTGTTCGTCCGAACCCACCTGGTAGGGATCACTAGGTCGGCTTGGTCTCGCCTTATAGCCAGGCTGGTCTTCAGGTCAAGGACCTCGCAGGCCTCTTTGGCAAGCCAGGCTTGCCACTCCTTCTCGTCGCTGCCCCCGGGCTTGGTGAAGAGCTGGGCCTGTTCAGGGCTGAGCTCGTTGAGGCGGATTTCTTTCCTCCCCTTCTTCTTTGTCCCTGCACCGGCGGCGCCTGCAGCTAAAGCCTGGTACTTCTCAGAAAAGTCGTTCCTGCGGACACCGAAGAGGAACTGCTTCAAGTTCACCCCGGCGTTCTGGAAGGCGCTCTCCTTTAAGAAGTAGTGGTCCTTGGCTCTTTCACTGAGGTACTTCGCCGACTCTGCCGCCAACGTGGTGTCGACCCTCTCGGCGCTGTAGTTTGCACTCTCGCCCGTCGTCACCCGTTGTCGCTTGGCCTCGCGCTCCACCGCTTCTTGCCCGACCTCCTCAGCGATCGGGGGCAAGTGCTCGTCTGGGACCGCCTGGTGGTAGTCGTGCAAGTCGGGGCTCCAGTCGGGCTCGCTGATCGGATAGTCCTCGAGGTCGCGGTCGTCAGCGAAACTTCCAGGCACCGGTACCTCCTCGGCTGTCGGCTCTCGTGGAAGAGGTGGTTGTAGTGAAGTTGCCGGCGGCGCCGTGGAGGAGCTTGGGCCACTACGTGTCCGAGCGACCTCTTTGGCAAGGAAAAACTCTGAGGACTTCCTCGCCTTCTTTGCGTCTCTCTCTGATTCGTAGCGCAGGGCCTCTTGTGAAGTCGAAGAAAGGTCGCCGGCCTCGCGCTTGAGCCTGAGTGCCTCCCGGGCTCGGTCCAAATCGTCTATTTCGCCGGGCTCCACTGCTGAGTCGCCTGGGCTTTGCTCACCGTCCTGGTTGTTCTCGGGCCGCAGGTCCTCCAAGGCATCTGGGGGCTTAGGGGCCCGGCGCAAGTCGATGAAGCCTGTCCCTCCTGAAGCCGGCAAAGGGTCCAGGAGGCTAGTCTCATTTCCCGTCACGGTCCAGGCCTCCACTTCCTCGTCGAAGGCGCGGGAGAGGTGCTCGGGGCTGACCGCGAGCAGGATGCCACGGTGCGACACCCAGATGGTGTGGCTGCCCTCTTTCCCGACAACCTTGGCAACGCCACGCCAGCAGTTGGGACCTGGAGTTTTGTCTGCTGCGTCGTAGTAGAACACGTGGCTGCCAACAGGAAAAGGGCCCCGGCTAGGGCGAACCTGCCGAAGCTCAGCTCTTCTCAGAGCATCCGAGTTGCTCGCCTTGGCAAAGGCTTCTCTGGCTGCGAAACGTAGCTGCGTCTTCCTGAAGAACCTGGTACTCGGGGTCGCGGCCAGGGCTTGTGATCCAATCCTAGCCACTTCGGCCTCATCGGCAAGAGCAGCAGGTAGGCGGATGTCCCGCCCCAAAACCCATTGAGTGGGAGAGAACCCGCCCCGTCGGCTTCCAGAGTTCTTGGCCTGTGTCACGGCAGTTGTGGCAAGTAGCACCTCGTCTCGCCCGGCCACTTGCATGGACCAGACCATTTTCCGGAAAGCTTCTTTCCATAGCCCGCCGTGCCTCTCTATCTGTCCCAGCTGCCACGGTGAGGCCTTGGAAGCCGAGTCGAACACGCAACCGTGAGCCGAGACATCCTCCGCAAACTCAGATAGAAAATATTTGGCACGATCGGTCAGGATCCCCCGCTCGGGATACCCCGCCCAGGAGGTCCAATGAGTAACGAAGTTCTCTAGAACAACAGAGCCAGTCGGGTTGGCATGCGTGTCCCATAGCAAGGCACAGACCTGGAAGGTGGTACCCTGACAAAGGATGTTTAACCAGGTCCACGACTCACCTTGACTGTCCTTCTCGGTGAAGACATCAAGGCCCACTTGGACGTTAAATTCATCCGTCATGGGAAGTTTCGAAGGTCGTGGTTCACGAGGCTCTGCCAGGCGAGGGCAGTCGGGACATCTAAACAAACGTGCGGCTCGAATGGCCACCTCGCTCGCTTTGCTGATCCTCAGAGCTCGCAGCATGGAAGCCACAGGGGCATGGCCAAGATTAACGTGAATCCGACGGATGGCCAGCTTCAGCTCTCGGGGTAGCGCTTGCCATTGTCTGTCACGGCCCTCCTCCTTCAAGCGGAAGCGGTCTGCCTCCTCTTGATCGTCCTTGGCCTCTCCGAGCTCGACCCCATAGAGCACCAAGTAGAGACGCCGTTGCCCAGCAACAAGGGGCCGAACCTGAGAGCTCGGGGCCTGGCTTGCCCAGTGCTCCCAGTCAGTGGTTAGGACCTGGCCGTCACCGAGAAGCAAAAAGGACTTCCTCAAAGGAACCTCGTGTGGTCCAAGGTGTGGCTGTGGTTTCTTCATTCTCCTTGCCGACGTGGAACACAAAATCAGCTTCACCTCGGCATTCGCAGACTCGTGTGCCACCCATCCTTGTCCCAACTCGCCTGCTGGGTCCAACTTGTTCCATTGCTCGCCGCCTTCTTGCCTCACATAGTCAAGCGTGGCCTGAAGCAAATTTGCCAGGGACTCAGACTCGTCTTCTATCCAAAACCCCCGCTGTAGCTGACGCACACGGTGACCACGACGACGCAAAACTCTATGATCTATACGATCAGGGGCCCCAGGTGGATCACCTTCTTGATGCTGTCCTTCTTGTGGTGGTTCTTGGTTCCCGTCTGGGGCCTCTAAGGCCAAATCTTGGTCATCGTCCATTGGCACTGCCGAATCATAGGGCAGAGCTGACTCGAAAAGCTCATCGAACCCTTCGAGCTCGGGCTGGCCCCCGCGTGGATCACCTTCTTGATGCTGTTCTTCTTGTGGTGCTGGTTCTTGGTGCCCGTGGCCTCGTAAAAAGAACTCGGTCTCGCCGGTCCAAAGAAAGTCGGTGGTGACCCGCCGGCTCGACCACCAATCGTCGGTTTGCTCGCGACGGGTGCCGTCTTGAAGGATCATACGGGTCCGCCTTTGTGTTGTCAACTGTGCCAAGGGGACCGGGGGCGCCGTCGTTGACAAAGGTAAGAACAGCGCCCTGCGCGGGGCCCGGTGGACACGGATAAGAAGGTTCCCCTCAAAGCGCCAGTCGTCTTCCGTGGGCTCCTCGCCGGGCTCGCTTTCATCCTCGGTTTCATCTTCGTCGTCTTGGCTGGCTGGACAGGCGTGCTCGTAGTACCTCAGGTCACCGAGGGCAAAGGCCGCAGCGTAGTCATAGTTCATATTGTCCAGGATCCCGCGCCCGATGTCCTTAAAGACTCCCTCGGGCAGCTGCGCGGAGCAGCTTGGAGTTGTTCTCGTCTCCCGGCACCGGGCCCAAAGGGGGCAACGGCACCGCTTACCGAGGTAGTTCAGTAGAACCTCGGAGTTAGAGACCCAACTCGTAGTTCGCCTTGCTGGCTTCCCGGTGCCGTGCTGTAGCAAACCATAGGCGCACAGATCGCATTGCACGGTCTTCCCCGAGACGTCCTCCCGCAGCTCGTTCAGGATCCCGTCAAAGACCGCCACGACGCCACCCACGGGGAACTCTAGGAGGTAGTAACGCCCGGCTTCGTGCTGAAAACGGCACGCTCGAAGAAGATGTTCCCTCAGCTTGCCCCCAAAAGCTTGTTGGGCCTTGCCGGCCGGAAATTGCCGAAGTATCTCCCAGACTCGTGCCGATGCGGTCGTCACCAGGAGGTACGGGCAGTGCTGCTGAAGGACTCTCCGCATTAGGGTCCGGGCCGTCCTGCCAAAAAGGTCTGCACCGTCAACTTGTAAAAGCGGCTGGCTGTTGGTCCAGCCAAAGGTGGCCGAACAAAAGCGCGTGAGGGCAAGGTCGCAGCAAAAGGGGTCGAAGAGAACTGTGCCACGAAAGTTGTTCGTCACGAACTGCTCGGCCACGGTGTAGTCCCGCTTCAGAGCCACCCACATACAACCGTCCTGCTTTAGCTGCTGCGCCTCGGATCGTCGAAGTTCGTCGGCTCGCCGCTGACTTAGCTGGCCGGTCTTGTCTCCGGGGCGCACGCCTCTGGCTCCTAGGTCTGGTGGTCCTCGTGGAAGTCGGGGCTCGCTCTTGTGTGCGGTGCTGAGGTTCTGCGCGTCCAGGCCGAAGAGGGGGAGCTGGGCTTCCTCTAGGTAGTAAACGAGCAGGTCCCCCTTCTCGGAAACTATCGCTGGGCGCTTGGCTCCCGGGCCACCTTGGTTCCAGGCCTGGGCGGTGCTCCCTCGGTCCACCCTTATCGCCACGTGCCCTGTCCTTGTGACCACCATAGGCAGGTCGAGCTGGAGGGACCGGACCTCCACCAAGCGGTCACGCATGCAAAGGACCATGTCGAGGGCGTCCATGGTAGGGATTGACAGCAGGAGTGGGGTGGACCCTGTCTCCACCTCGGCGCTGTGAACCTCCCCGCGGCAGCCGCCCAAGTACACGGGGATCTTCCATACAGTCAGCTTCTGCTCGGTGCTCTGGCCGTTGGCGAAGTGAAAGTGTTTCCTCTGGGGCGTCACCTCGCAGCCGACTCCCCTAGGGAGGCTCGTGGAATAAGCTTCCCTCCAGCGCCGGGAGTGTATGCACGAAGTGCAGGCCGTGTCCAGCAGGGCCACCAGAGATTCATTGATCTCATCGTTGTGGTTGTCGTGTTGCAGCCGGTGATGTTCACCTGCCGCGGTCTTGTTCGTGGTGCTTTGGGCAGCGTATGAATTCTCAGTTCGGCAAAGGTGTGGCAAATAGGGCTCATCAAAGGAATTCGGCTTGCAGCCATAGGGGCGATTCGCCACAAAGGCCAATTCTCCTTCTCTGGGGTCGAAGGCTTCCAGGCAGGGCTCACAGCCCAGATCGGGCCCGTCCGTAAATCGCCAAGCCTTCCTGAAGCTCCATGGTGTACTGGCACTTGCTGTAGGTGGAGCAGCCGAAGAAGAGGTTGAAGCCACGCCGCATAACCATGCTGTGGCCACAAAGGCCACAAGGAATCTCGCCGACCGCCTCGTTGAGCCGGATGCTCCTCGGAATCGTGACTCCGGTCTTGGGGTCCCACTGCCTTCCTTCGGCATCGAAACGTGGACCGGGGTGCTTCTCCACGGCCGTCGGGGACCTGCCAACCTGGTTCGTTGGACGCGTCGGGCTGGACATAGGCGTGGTAGAGCTGGTTGCGTACCCGGCTGCGGTTGCTCGTGCCATCGGTCCGGAACTTCGAAATATACAACTCGAGGGGCTGTCGCGGGCCTTCTCCTTGACCTTGGGCTTGGCGGCTTCCTTGCTGTAGGTGGCCGGGCTTGAGGTCGTAGTCGTTGAAGTGTGGGCTCCCATGGCCCGGAGCCGAAAGAACTGCATAGAGCAGCCCTTCTTGAGCACAGCCCGGCCCGCAAAGAAGTCTTCCAAACGACCTTTCAGATCGTCCTTCTTCCCACTGGTCTGGATGCCCCAGCGGTCGCACTCGGTCTGTAGCTCTCTGACCTTCATGGTCGCAAAGTTCGCGGGGATCACCTGGGACACCTCGGCAACGATGATCTCGGAGATCTGCTCCTTGGGCACGGCCAGGGTCACCTGCTCGGTGGCGCCTCCCTTAGGGAGCCCTGTGGCTGGCTGGCTCTCTTCGAGGTGCCCGGGGCCACGAGGCTCTGACACAAACGGGGCCGGGGGCACATACTCCCAGCCATCCCCGGTGTAGGTGGAGGCCGTCTTCCTTCTTGCGTCCAGCTCGGTGTCGCCGCTGTCCTGGTGCATGCTGCCCGTCTCGCTGTCTTCGCTGCTCGGGTTCTCCAGGACCATGTTGCAGAAACCATCGGCCTCGGAGTCGCGGACGGAGAAGAACAAAGGCTCCTCACCAACAAAGTAGGCCTTCCCCTTGCTCCCGCGATTCTTTCCGCCTTTGCCCTTGCCGGGCTTGCCGCCTTTGTGTCCTTTGGGTCCGGAGCCTTTTGCACAGACGCCGTCACCAGCCCAGTGGCCTATCTTCCCGCAGGCTGCGCAGCGGGACCGTGCCTTCTCTTTCTCGATAGCCGCCTTTCGCTCGTCGCTGCTGTGGGCCGTGGGCTTCGGCTTGTGAAAGCCACGGCTCTTCTGGAGGTCCTTCAGGCGCTTCCGGGAGTCCTTGTAGGTAGCATAGGCCTCGAAAACATCATCGTCCCCACTGGCCCCGGCATCTGAAGGTTCTGCTTCCTCGGGGTCCTCAGTCTCCTCGTCGGCGGCCGCGTCGGCATAGTACTCGTCCGGGTCCTCGTCGTGGTCCCAGGCGGTCTGCTCCTCGTCGTCCGCTTCCTCGTCGACGGCGTGGGCATAGCCTCGCCTAGGTCCGCTTCGGCCGCCCTTCCCCGCAGCAGGCTGCCGCCAGTCTCGGTTCTTCTCCCGCTCATGTATGTCAAAGAACGACACCCTGAGGGCCTTCTCGAAGCCACTGAGCGAGTAGTCGGACTGGTTCGCAAGCAGCACCTGCCTCTTCTCCTCCTTGGTGAGGTTGACGTTCTTCAGCATGAAGTAGGCCAGCAGGTCCTCGGACATAGCGACCCCATCGGCCAGCTCCAAAAGATCGGACCATGACTCGGAACGGTCCCGGAGGAACTGGTCGATGCTCTGTCCTCGGCGTCGAAAAGTCTTGTCGAAGAAGTGGTCGAAGGCCTCGGTCTTCTTCAAGACGTTCACCTTCTCGATCTTCTGCAGGGCGCGTAGCACCTCCTTGTATCCCTCCTTCTCTCTGAGCTTCTCACTGGTGAGCAGGTCCTGGCATACACGCCAGGCTTCATCGTGGAGGTTGTCCATGAGGCGTTTCGCAAACCTTCGCTGCTTCTTCTCGAGACTCTTCCGTTCCTTGGCCTCATCATCGCCACTGCCCTCCAGATTGGAGAATGCAAAGAGCACCCTCCGGCGGTAGTCCTTCATGAGCTCGGGACGGGCACCCGTGTAGTGAGGGATGCCGTCCTTGTCGACGACTATCTGGTCGTCCCGCCAAAAGGGCCTGGAGTCCATGGCGCAGGGCTCCGCTACCAGTGCGGAGACGCACTGGCAGCGCACTACACACTTTTGCCACAAAGCATGCAAAGTTCGAAAGTGTCAAGGTCTTGCTTGTGAAACTGCTGAAGCGAAAGCTGTGCTACCCGCAGACCGGAAAGCTGTGGGCATCCGTGGTGGCAGCCTCTCTATCACTTCGGGCCGGCTTGGGCTGAGGCGGCGCTTGCTGACGGCAACGGCTCTGCTGAACCCAGGGGATTCTCACAGGATAGATAAGATAGATGAGAAAGATCTGAAAGACATGATTGATACTATAGATAGAATGGATAGAACAGAATTACAGAATAGATAGAACCGATAGAGTACATTGAGTTAACGGAACGGATTAAACAGATGATTAGATTAGATTAGATTCGATCAGGCTAGATTGGAGGTTCATCAGGTTAACTGATGGATTGATAGATCGGCCCTTACTTACCGGCGGTTGCCTGAGCTCTCTAGCCAAGAGGATATGACAGGCTTCCGAGGAAAACACAGCCCGGCGGCGAACCGTAAGACAGCGAATATGTCACTGTGATTTTTCCCGCTCGAACTGGAACAGAACTCGGGAAACTGGCTGAGGACTTGAGAAGTGAGCACATTCGCCTCTGTTAGCTCCTTGGGTCCTCCAAGTCGATTGAAAAGCCTGGTTGGGCAAGGCTGGCGACAAGGTCGTGGAATATAAAGCATTAATGCCTGACAACTAAGTCTCAACAACGTTTACGGATACGGTCCAAAGCAGCCATGCATTCACGCCTGCAGGAATCGCCAGCAAAGCTCTTGAATTGCAATGAGAGTGTCAAGCTGAAACCTTGGAAGCCTTGCGCCCTATCACGCCCATAAACAGCTCTCCAATTCTATGCATTTCCAGCATTTCCAGGTCCTGTTTCAGGCGCTGTCGGCGAGCTTTGCGCTTCTCTCGCACCGCGCAGCAGTGTACGTGCACGGTCCGCAACAGCCTGCTCACCGCATCCACGATTCAAAATTTTCACAGAATACGTGGACACTGCTCTAGCTGGACAAGACTCAGACGAACTCAAGCTGCTACAGCAATGCTGCACTGACTACCTAGCATCGCAGAGAGCTCTGCCAACTCGCGGACAATGCAAGTGCCTTCTTCAAATCAACAACACACAGCTACAAACACCTGAACGATGGCAGGGTAGCCGGCCACAATGGCTCCTTCCTTGGTCACAGCACGCGTCTTCTGGCTGCTACCGGTTATTGGCTTCCCTGGTCTGTTTCTGCTGGAGCCCTGCTTCGTGTGCATCTCTGTCCTTGCCTCGTTCTCTCGAGGGCCTGCTGTGAGGCGGCAGGAGAAATAAGAGGGAAAGTGAAGCTGTCTTCTCCGTCTAGAGGCCGGAACCGGCCCCAGCTGCTGCACAATGGGGCCGATGTCCTCCAACTCGACACACAGGGCCGCAAAGCACAGAACAGATTGCTCTCGGAATCCCACCCATCTTCAACTACTACTATTCGAACTAGCTGCAGTGGCGGTTTGTCTGGCAGCTGCCTCGAAGCTTAAGCAACAGCACCACTTGTATGCAATGGAGCATGTCATGTCAAGATGTCGCTGCTACGCCGCGCGCGGGGGGGGGTGCTCCTCCAGGCGCGGTGACTCCACAGAGATGCTCCGGTATCTCTCTGCAAGCACCACGGACCTCAATACAAGAATGTCTACCACATGGCACCCCCCCCCCCTTCACGGTAATGCAGGGCAAGAAGCAGACCCGTCTCGGCGATGAAAACGCAGTCAACCTGCGTGGTGTCAAAACGCCTCTGCCGGAAGCTCTGGCGCTTCGTGCACCTCCTCACCGAAGTCCGTGATCCTGCGGCTCTTGCGGCACCGAACCAACATCGGCGGCTCGGCACTTCCGAGAGCCTCGACTTCCTGACAGCTCGAGCTCGAGATTGCGGCAGGAGCCCAAGACGTGTACAGAGAGCCTCTGGTGCCAACTCCAGCCTGAAACAGCTAGCAGAAGGCTCTGCCTACTTAGACTGATGACATGAGCCGTGAGCAGACACTCAGATAATTCTGCGACCTGCGACCTGCCTTCTCCGAATTCAGCTAGGCAGCTCCTTTGCAGCAGCGAGCTCTAGGCGCGGGCCATGCGATGAGGCAGCTGTACAACCTGCGACAGACGTCCACGTCGTGCCATGCTGCGAGTTGAACTGGTAGCAAGACATACAGCAGGCCCAACAAATCTGATGCCTGCAAGTCTGGCGGCCCACCTGCGTGCAGAGTCTTGACCCAAAGCTCCACGCCCTCCTTGCCACGGTCCTTGCCACGGCAGGAAGAGCAGTTGTCGTTGTCGAGCTGTTGCGCAAAGTAGCTGGATGGTGCATGCATCTCCAAAGCAAACCGCAGACAAGACACTTCACTTCTACACTGCTCAACTTCACATGGATTATACGGGAATGCTATGTCATTTCGTGACGCTGTTGACAACACGACACCAAGATTCATTCCCACCGAAGAGATGACAAATCCTCACACAACCATGCGGCAGACGCATCCTACCCATTGATGAGAGCCCATCAACCGACATGGAAAGCTTGCACGCGAAAGCCTCACTTCGGCGCAGTCGACGCTTCGCCTCCAACTCAGTTAATGCAAGGCAGAATGCTGCCTATCTGAGCTGTGGGACGCTACTGCTACCGCCGGACAAAGGCAGTTAGCTTCAGCCCGAAGGTTCGTAAATGTCTCCAGATGAACCGTCACGGTGGTCAGGTGATGGAGGAGGCTGAGTTGCACAGTTACGGCACACCAGCCTCCAGGGCTCCAGCACCGTTGCCTCAGCACGGGGCAACATCACTGACAGCCTGCAACAAGATCCAGCAGCACAGCCAGATGATAGTTGCCGAGGCACGCAGCTTCAAGCCCAGCGATTCTCCTGGCGACGGACATAACTTTGCACTCCACGAAGCAAGCTTGCCTCCTGCTCGGAAAGGCACTGGACCATCCACCTTGCATCCTGCGTCCTGCCTGTAGGGAAGTAGAGGTCTTCCCTCTTGCCCGCCAAAGGCAGTGGTCCGGCGGGCAGGGGCCTCTTACGAGCCGAGCATAACAGATCCAGGGGGTCCAAGAGTGGTTGATATCTTGCTCGCAATACATCTCCTGCAACCGCTCTTCCTTTCTGTGGGCTGAAGAGCTCGCTCTGTCGCTCCCTCGCTTTTCTCGTGCGAGCGTGCACTGGTTGTTTGGTCTGCTGTAAGCACTGGCTACGGAGAGGACTGGTTGTTAAAGACCTATCAAACCATTCTTAACACTTCTGCATTTCCGAGATCACGTCCAATCAAGAACAGCAACGAAGGGTTACGGTACTACGACGCACTACTACGACATTACGACTACGACGAACATTGCAGGCTCCTTGTTCAAAGGTCGCCCTTCAACTAGCTCTCTCTCTCTCTCTCCAACACATGCGACTGCAGCTTCAACACTCTGTGATGAGCATGGTTGGGCTCCCAAACACGCCTTTGCAGGAAGTATCGCCACTCCCAGCACGCCATGGACGCAGGGCACAGGGCACCAAGCTCCAAGGACGAAAGATGCTGCAGCAACGCCATGAAATAAGAGTATCCGAGTATCCGCGACCAATGCCTTCTCAGGTGGTTTGTAATAACCACGCCTGCGAATTCAATAAGGGCTTGCCACGAAAACCCAGAGCCCTACATCCCAGCTCCAGCTGCCGACTTCTCTCAGCACGTGACGGAAGCAGCCAAGGCAGCGCTCAGGCATCCGGAGGCAAGCCGCCAAGAACCGACCTGAGGCTTAGCGGCTTAGCGGTACAGCCGTTGGTGTTTCTTGCATGTGCCCTCTGGCTGCCCCGGCATCAGTATGGCCCTAACACCGTAACACCCTAACACCCTGGTCTCAATTAAATCTTCATCTAGCATCTGACTGTCCATCTTCTTCAGATAGCGAGTGACCGAGTAGTGAATTTTAACGCATTCTTTGTCCTTGATGTGTTCCGACACAGGCACCAGGAGCAACGGATGGTTCTCATGAGGTTCGTAGCATCCGCCCCCAACGAAGCAACAAGAGAAACATAGAAGCGGCCGTCTGCTCATTCTTTCCGCAACTACGGCATGTCCCATCCTTTCCTCCTTCCGATGTTTCCGTGATCCGTTCACTGCACGATGATCCCATGTCATCCGAGAGCTGCACCCAGCGGGGGCACAGGCTTGGTAGCAGCATGTTCCCCATCCTTGGAGGCGGATGTGGTTTCAATGTGTCAACCCCCAAGAGAGGCCTCGGTGACCGGTGGCGAACGCAAGGCCTATGGCCCAGATTGCCGAGGAGCAGGCGATGCCATCAAGAATGCTTGCGGCCTCGGTGGGTTCAGCGGTTCAGCCCCACTTCGGGTTCCACGGCAACCTTTCCGCAGGAGTACTTGCTGGAAGTACCACACAGCCACACAGTGCAGCCTTTTGGCAGGAAGTTTCGCATGGAGCCTGCATCGGCTTTGAGAGAGGAACTTGCAACTTGTGGCATGCAGCAGTAGTTATTGAACCTGCTTGCCACCAGTGAATCCGAAAACCAGCATACCGCAGTATGCCGCAGCTTTAATGCGACAGTACGTGAGCTCGAGCCCGCTGCCTAGGTTGATTTCAAAGGGTTCCGGCTGGGATGCTGCGTGACGAAGCCTTTGCATCCTGGTGAAAGCTAAATATCTGTCGCATCCGAATCTTGCGTTGCAGAGTGCCACTGAGCATGGGCCCGGGCTGCAGCTCGGCTTCCTCCCCATCTGTACAGCATGATCAGCGCGAATTCTGTGTCAGTCACCACCGCAGCTCAGGCGACAAAGACCCAAAGATTTCCTGAAGGGAAACATAAGTACTCCGCCCACAGATAGGGGAGCTGCGAACACTCAACAGTCCTCGAAAGAGGCCCCACAAGACCTCGGGCGAACATGCAGCATGAATGCCAAAGTGCCTTCCAAGCCAGTCTTCTTTCTCCAGGGTGCTCGTCCGAGGAGAGTCCAGCGGCTTGGCCGATGTGACCAGCGCCTGCGTTCGCCAGACCTCTCAGAACCTCAATGCTTCGGGGCGTCTGGCCGGTCTTCGACAGCGAACTCCAGCCGGTGGTCCAGGCAGGCACGGATGCAGCACAGAATCTGTACTACAGATTGCCCGAGCGCTGCACATCATGGCAAGCCGCCTTTCCTGGGCTCTTGAACGAGTGGCTCTACCATCATCGGACGCAAAGCAGCGAGCGCAGCGAGCCGAGCCAGCCGAGCTCCCCCATGCCCCCACGGATGCCTCACCCTGCAACATGCCTCAACCGGCGCTGCAGCCAGGTGTCGCCGCGACCATTGCTGCAGCGCCCCACGCAGGGCTGCGCCCAGGTCTAGCGGCGAAGGTCTCAGAGAGCTAACTTCCGGCCGCTCAGATGCAGGTGCAAGATGCTAGTCGGCAGTCCTTCGCTTGCTGAGTGGCCCGCTCTCCGTCCGACCGGATTTGTGCCAACTTTCCGAGAAGCTCCTGTAGAGCTACAGTACTGCGCAGACGTCCACTTCACAGCAAGAGCCAGCTGCTGGGCATCTCATCCGCGTCTGTCCGTTGATCCCTGCCTCCGATTCCCTGCGTGCGCTTTCCACCTCACCCGGCTCAGACATGCAAGCTGCAAGCATGGGCGAAGCTATGGCCCGGAGATGCCCCGAGCCAGCTTTAGCCTTCGGGCCTGGCCTCGCTTCGGCACCGTGTCGTGTCTCGACGCAGCTGCAGGTCTCTCCGCGCCTCAAATCCATTTCAGTGCCGACCAAAACCCCTTGGGCGCGAACCCGCCTCGTCGACTGCCTTCTGCAAATTTATGTGGAGCTTCGCCTGGTGCAAAGCAAACTAGTATGACAGCTTCATCGACGAGTAGAAAACTTATAAATTCATATCTACTTATATACTTCAGAAACCTTCATGTGTAGACCATACTTCCCGGGAAGCCTCAGCAGCGGTACACGGTGCAGATTCCAAGTACTAGTAGGTGCAGTGCTATAAGCTCGGGCAGGTGTGCTGCAGGTGCCTGGGCATACAGCTCGGCGGCTTGCTGTCGGCGTTGGACCTCATCCTGGCACAAAGGGTTCGAGCGTAAAAATCGCCTTTGAAGCTTCACATAGACAGCAGTGACAGGCTAACCGGCTAACTCGTTCAAAACTCAGGCGAACCTCGACAGAGAGCTGCGTGGCACCTGCAAGAGGGCACACGTAAGCAGGATCTCCTATAAGAGGACATGCAACATGATCCACATGGCACCAGTGTTCCAGTGTTCGGGCCTGGGCTTGTAGGATTTGTAGGATCTGTGAGGTCCGCAGACTGCACCCGCGGTTGCTTCGCAGGGCCGTGGTTTGTTGATTCCAGCGCTGGCCTGGGCATTGCATGTCAACACAGCCAGGTAACGCGATGATTGCTTTTTCTGAACCCTGCCATGCGCTCGAAACATGCCAAGTGTGCCGCTTGACCACCTGAAGGCTTTGTGGCAGAAGGCTTCGAGCTTCCTCCTGGCACAACAGGCGATGATTTTGTGGTTGACAGGAAGCTGCTGAAGCTGCAGCTACCACCCGTGAATGCCTGAAGTCGTTTTGCTCGGCATACAGCTTGCTCGGCACCGGATCCTCCCGGAGCCAATTCTGCTTTGGCGACGTCACTGAGAGAGCCCCGCTCAACTCCTAGCCTCGCCGCCGCCAAGCTCGCAGCTCCCCGGCTGCGGCCAACTGAGCTCAGCAGCTGAAAGCCGAGCGCAGAAAAGTGGCTTTGAGAGCTTCCACTGAATCCGCCTCGCATGCTTCGGCACCAGCCGCCGCCTCCTCAACCAGGCCTCGGAAAGGCACAAGACGAGCAATACTCAGTACTCCACGCCTGTCTCCACTTCACTTTCATGTTCTGAGACGTCAGACGTCTCCGTTCAAGACTTGCAGCGAGCAAGGCGGACTGGGTGCGCTCGCACTGGGCCTGCTTCGCATGTCAGAGTCAACTCTCGGGACTGCATGGAGACCGCAAGGATACATCAAGGACCCATCAGGCAGCTTACAAGGCGCTGTCTTTTGCTGCTGTGACTTTGAAACGACATCGAGGTCCAGAGTCCAGGTCTCTGGTGTCTCTCAGAATCTCTCAGGGAAGTGTGAGATCGACTCCGGCGCCCCGGATCTCACGCAGACCTCAGCAGAAAGGAAACCATCTTATCAGCCGTTTGCTGCTTTTCTCGAGGCTTTAATCCACTGCACTGGCAACCCAATTCCAGCAACCGCCATATGAGATTGCTGTTCCTGCCAAGGCGCTTTGTTCCCAGAGTGCTTCCTGGAGCGCAGGGCTCTGGTGGTCCTCGAGGAGCCATAACCAGGATCCCTTGCGATTGAAGACATTACTTAGTTACTTGCTGGACAGATGCATGATTTAACTTTTCGTCTGCGGCCGTGAGCCTCTCCGAACAGTCACAAGCAAGCAGTCAACTGCCAGCCTGCGAGCAAACTCACGTCCTGGCTTGGCTCCGAGACTTCGAGGGCCTCTCTAGCAGCAACGGGGCTCCTGGCAAGCGCTCCGACTGTGCTCCGACTGCCTTTGGGCCCGGCGGAAGCAGAGTGCTTGCACTACCTCGACACCACACACGAAGCAGCTCCAGAATTCGAAGAGCGTCGACAGACTTGCGCCGCGGTAGCCGTTCCTAGAGGCTTGGGGCTTGGTATGGCTACGGTGATATTGAAAGGACGTCACGGGCTTCGGTGGCGACACTCGCCTTCAGCCACACTCCCGGTATATCAACTCTCTGCCATGAGGGGATGTGTAGGCGATGGATATCTCAAGATGTAAAGTGCTGCCGCGCGGCCAATACCTGCTTCAAAGGTTGGAACTCAGGAAAAACATTCGTCTCAGAAGCATGTAAAGGCAAGTCGAAGACCGTGGGCTTGTCAAACCAGGGCTTCGCAGACCCGTGCATCGGCTGCACAGCTAGGTTAGCACAGCTAGGTTAAGTGCTGAGTGCATACCATCAGGCGTTCACAGACTGCTGACCATGGACGTTTTGCGACACTGTGCCTTGCAATGCAGTATCGGGAATTCTGAATCTGTGCAGCTTGTAGCTGTGCCTGAGTCATCCCTTCATCCCGTTTACAAATCCTAGCGGAGAGTGCGTCCGATTGCCGGGAAGGCAGCCTGGGCGGCGCCGGGACGCAGCCCTCGTCCGCGGTGGCAGCCTGGAGGCCAGGCAGGGAGGGCTGCCTCTGCCATGTCAGTTGCAAGCTCCGGCCTTCACCACCGTCTTTGCTGCGGTCTCTGGGCTGATCAGAAGCCGGGAAAAAACCTGAGAGTGGAAACGTGCCCACCTGCAGTCCAAGTTGAGTAAATATCTTCCGAAAGCGGACAAGGCACAGCTTGTTGCCATCCTGCATACCCCCGCCAAATGTCAGATGCAACCTCAGCTTCACAAGATGTGGGGCTGTCAAACGGGTGCCGCTAGCCGTCCCACCCAGAACATGTCACCTTATTCATCATCATTCAAGTATCGCTTCAGAAGAGTGAGGCAAGCTCGCGACAAATTGGAAAGTCCGAGGAAATTGCCAAATGCCAGTCCCCCAAATCCCTCCGAACACCAGCAAAGCAGGTTCAGACATTTGACACCGCCCGGGTTTACACAGTGGAAAGCCACGTCCTGGACATGGCACGCTTGAGGTAAGTTCAGACGCCAAGACGACACGACAGTGAAACTGCCGTAGGCTCCTGCCTCGCCATAACGCTTGTGGAGTGCGTAACTCGACACAATCCTCGACTGCCAGGGGCCGGGTAAGGAGAGGAACACTGTGTCAACTGTTGGGCGAAGCGTCTGTGCAAGCTTGGAAAGCCCGTAGAGTGAGACCTCAGTACTGACGTTGAGGAGTGTTCCCGACATTCACCTGAGACTCGGCTATAACCAAGCGGCATATGGATCCCGAATTTCTGTTGTGATGCTGAAGTCGTCCAATGAAGCGCCTACAGTCAGCAGGCGTTCAAGATCAACACCGACTTCGCTCAGGCTCGGTCCAAGTTTGGCTGGACAGCAGATTTTTCATGCAGAATGCTCGAGTGCTGCCATACGAACTCGGCGATTCTGCTTGCAGCCGGAAGCACTTCTGTGGACGACCGAGGAAACGTTGATCCTCGAATGCACAGGCTGTGCTGTCAAGGCCTCGATGCTAGCATTCCACCCCGACTACGGGACATGCATGCAGGATAACTTCAGCCGTTGACATCCACATGACTAGCAGGTGCTACAGCAGTGCTTGAGACATGAAAGAGTCAAGGATCACACGCCCCTTGGCTCGACGTAGCAGCGGCAGCAACAACAGGGTCAGGAGAAAGTGCGACCTCGTGGAAGGATCTGCATTCCGAACACCCTGTCCACAAGCCGCAGCTGGACGGGTTGGGTCATCCAACAGAATCCAACGGGGTTCAAGACTCCTGACTTCATCTGCAGTGGGCAGAGAAAGGCACGATGCATTTGGCCGAACGAACAACAGACCCCTATCGAAATACTGAGGTTTACTTGTGCCGAGGACTGCTGTTTTGAAGCCCAGAAGCAGGTAGTTCGTCTGATAAAGCTTGTCCACACCATCCGACGACAGCTGTCGCGATGGCTCCTGCAAATGCCAGCTAGACGGCGTTGAACATCAAGAGACCCGGTATGGATGATTGAAGTATCTTCACAACTCAAAGGACCGGCTCTGCCTACACAAGGCAAAATATCGTTCAAAAGGGCAGAACATGAATCGGCGGAGGGCAGCTCTACAAGCGCGGTCAAAGACCTGCCTGCTCAGCCGACGCGGAGTTGAGGCCGGCATTGCCTCAAGGGTCATGACCGATTCGGCCAATCCTAAGCCTCAGGTGCCACTTAGGATGCTGCAGACCAGCAGCTTCAGCTCCCCATCCATGCCTTTCACCTCCTGCGAGGGTTTTCTGCACTCCACTCGTGGCCAAGGACAAGGTTCGGCGTTGCTTCCAGGATCCCTGTCTTTAGATTCCAGTCCGAACGTAATCCGTGCATGATGAAACTAAGCGCCTGGCATCAGTCAATCCTCCAACCCTATTGATGTTGGATAAAGCCCGACTGTGTCACGAAGTCTGTCGGGCAGGCCTCTGCGAATTTCAGCACGCAAGCGAAGGAGGAGAGGTCAAGCCTCGGAACAAAACACCAACGACTTCTGCCTCCGCTCCGTGCTTGTGCAATTCCCAAATTCTTATCAGTAGCTGGGTGACTGTCGATTGATGACGTCGCCTCCTGCCTCACTGCGAGGCTTCAACACAACTTCGCGCTGTCACAACGGTCTCGAATCTGCGCTCCTCTGTCAGGGTCGCTGCAGCCGCCTTTCCACGTGAGACACTGCGACAGCCAATGACCACTGCATAGCCAGCAGAGGCGAGCTGGCCTGCGAGAATGATCCGGACCAGACTGCTGAGTCGTTCTGTCTTTTGCCGGGCATGGGTCCGAGTTCCCTAACGCGCTGCCGTTGGACACTGCAGGCTAATGTTGCAATCCTACAGCCCCACGGGGCTTGAGAGGCCAAGATTGAGCGGAGAAGGCACTGAGTTGTTGCAGGGTCTCCTCACCATGAATCCTTCTTGCAACCTGATACTCTAGGTCTCCATGTCTTCTCGAGCTCTCTTTCTTGAGCCTGTCACGCGTTCTCCCCATTGGTCGGGTAGATCTTGGAAGAGTTCGCCCTATAGGCCCTAGAGTTAGTCACTGGAAGTCCGCACAGTCCCTACACACATGAGGTCAGCTTCTCGGCTCCAGGTCTGGGCACAAGTAGAGGCATGTCAGCAAGAAAGGTAGTTGTGCAGCTCCCCCTTGTCAAGACGCCAGCTTTGGGGCCTGCGGTATAATAGCCGATGCCGGTATTCCCTCCGGTGACGACGGCAATCGGTGCACCTGACGCGGAGCGACATCTCACTCTACCTGGCACTTTCTGCTCACCAGCTCACTAGCTGCAGTCTGCGCATCACGGGTAACACATCTGCAGCTTGCCGACTAAACACGCCTACACGGCTTCGTATGGCAGCGGTCACAGCACTTCGGACAGAAACAGAATCATACAAGTTGCAATCGGTTTTCGGCTGCACCTGCCGAATCTCCCACGGCCGCCATCACGAGAACAAGGAGCAAAGGCCGGGCCGCGAAAGCCCGCATGAGCACGTGCTACATCTCACACTCTGTTTGCCCGTGACCGTGCTCGGCTACATATTTGCAGTGCTGAGCTGTGGCCGTGTAGGATGAGCGTACGACACCTACGCTGCCACCCTGCGATGGGGTGTGCTTGTACTCTTCTTGCTGCCACTCTGCTGTCCTCAGGTGGACGTGGTATACACCTGTAAGCATGATGGCAGGCGAGAGCAGAAACACAGGGAGCTGATGACGAGCCTTCGAGAAGTTAGTGCTCAACTCCCATCGGACAGCAAGATACAGAGACACTGTGTCTGATTCCTCGACCAGCGCAGGGCCTCTGCAGCGCTGATCCGACAGCGTGCGCGCAGGCGCAACTGAGGCGTTCAAAGACTCAATCGGCAAGAGAAGGAAAGACGTCATATGAATGGGAAGGAAGTTCAAAATGCCACAAAAATCCGGTCACCTCTCCCGCATCATTGCAACTGCTGTTGCTTGGCTGCGCCTCACCGTCAAGCTGGAGTTGAGCATTGTTCAGTGTTGGAAGTGTTGCTTCCCCCGAGGGTTCAACAAGAGCGGATGCATCCTGGAGATCTCGGATCTCCTAAAGCTGAGACTCAGACGGCCTCGTCCAGCACCTCTGCCCGAGCCTGCGCTGCACATGGAGGAAATGCCTTCGGAAGCTTTGATCCCTTCCAGCAGTCTCAAAGTGTCGCCACAGCGTCGGGGGGTCATTTTTCGACGCAAAAAGCACGTGTTGAGCCAATCCACCCGGGCCCGCCCAATGAGCACACTTGCGAACCGAATTTACGTCATCTGTTTGGGGGAACAGATGCGGCCAGCCTAAGAGCACCGCGCCTGAGCAACTTGTTCCCAGATGCTGCCAAGGGCGGACCTAGACTAGAAATTCTGCAAAAGCCTTTTGACTGGTTCTCTGCACCTCACATAGCCACTTCCCAACTACTTGTGACAGCTCGCGCAAACTTGCTAATCCGCGCTTCCTTCGGTGAAGACTCCAAGCGCTCTGCAGAGGCATCGCAGCCTCCTGCAGCAACTGGTTCCCGGCGGCTGTCCTTAAGCAGCGACTAACTTGCGAGTTACTAGTATGTATTTGGTGCAATCAGAGAGCAGCGGCTTTGGACCAACCCCCAAGCGGATCCAAATCTCCCCTGTTCACCTTGACCTTGCGCTATTGTACGAGGCTTCGAAGGCGACAGCAGTGCCCGACTCGGACCGACAGGCTTGAGAACCCCAAGACAATCGAACCGTTTCCCACATCTGCCTCATCTGTCCATCATGGAAACATGTCGCAGGGCATTCGTTAGCACCACAAGTGGCGTGGGGCTGAAGACCTGTGGCCGCCGTCGAGGCCTTCTTGCCCTCGTTTCGGGCACGACAAGCTCGGAACCCTTCAACTCAACTCGCTTGTAGCGTGGGAAGCCATACACGTTGCTCAGATGTTGAGGAGCAGTTGGGGAGACTCTTCGAGCTCCAGCGGAAAAAGGCTCACGCGACAACTGCGTTTGAGCACCATGCTCGCTCCTCTTGCTGCCCAAGTCACTCGACACCAAGAGCCGCACGCGCCTCCTGGAACACATCAACTTGACGAAATCGCAAGGATCGGCAATCCTCGGCCTTCTCTTTATTGGCCCACAAGCGAAGACACTCATGCGAGCAGACATGCATGTGTGCAAGGTGCTTAGGAGGGACAGGAGAGCAGTGCACTGAGCACTAAGATGCTTTTTGCATAGCTTCGCTTAGCAGCCCTTTCACCGCCCTCGGTGCAGCGAATACTACCTGGATCAACAATTGGGACATCGAACAGATTCAAACACCGTGACTCCATGACTCATGTCACCGAAAAGAAAGGCAGATAAGACCGAAAGTGATGGATGCCCCGGGTTTAAAAAACCATCTCTACCCGTATCACAATGCAGACCTACCGAATAAAAGCTGTCAAAAGAAGCAACAAAAACACGGGAGACCCGCCGGCCTCGGCAGCCACCTCCGCAGCACCCTCCGCGTTGACCGCTGCCAGGGCCGAATGCAAAACCTCACAAGTGGGGCATGCGAACAAGGGAATCCCAAACCTAGCTGCGACACCCCGACAGTCCAGCAGGCAAATCTCGTCGGCCTGCTGAACCTGCTGCAGCTGCTCGGCCAGCCTTTCCACAAGAGCAAAGTCTTTTTTGCGATTGTTGTGAATTAGGTGTACCTACATACATACATACATACATACATACATACATACATGGCATGGCATGGCATGGCATGGCATGGCATGGCATGGCATGGCATGGCATGGCATGGCATGGCATGGCAAGGCATGGCATGGTATACATACGTACATACATACATTGGCGCGTACTCCAACTCTACCCCGAACTAATCAGCAAATGCGCGCTCACCCAATTCCCACAGACAGCCCTGCAAACGACATAAACCCTGCAGCATGAATGCCTTCTCTACATGAACTTGCAGGACAACTCCACCATTCCCGAGCCTCTTTCCATCCGCAGAAGCTTGCAAAGCCTGCAGGAACGCTTCGAAAATCTCGTCTAGTTTGCCGTGCACCAGGGTGTGCGTCCGAATGCGGATGGTTCAACTTTCGCACTTGCATCGAAAACGCAGTTGTTTCAATGTCAAACACATGCAAAATCCTTCGAACCGTGGTGAAATCTCAGCTAATCAAAACGGAACGAACGAAGTGGACCGGACTCACAGCTGCGACAAAGAAACCCAACGACACCGTTCCAAGTTCACTCATCCACATAAGCATTGCAAGAGCAGCATTGCGCGCCACAGCTTTCACGAAAGGTATTCGAATTTTACGCCAGGGCAGCCTATTTGCATGCATGTACATATGTATATAGATATCATATACATGTTACATGTATATGTATCTGTGATCTCGAGCTGGTTTGCTTCAGATCGAAGATGGCAAGTGGGACGTGACGCACAACATCAGCACCCGAGGAATATCAACACAGATGCGTGAATGTCCTCGAGCAGGGCATTACCGAGGCCCAAGTTTAACAAGCTTTCAGTGCACGCACAAAGTCTCAGTTTCCAAAACCAGCCAGAGCCATCCCCTTCAGTTCCTTCAAGGAATCGGCAGTCGTAAGCATTCTTTTCCACTGTCACTCAGTTCGGAAGACCGGGATCAACTAAAAATGGCAAAAGAAGATTCCTCGATCTGCTGGTGACTCACGCTGACAAGCCCTTGAAGCAAGGGACCTCTGCTTGCATCTCCAATTCCTCCGCAGAGCTTCGAAACGGAAGTCTACGAAGAGGCACTAATAAGCACTCGCTCAGGCAGGCACACCTGCCTGGGCCCTCCGCTGCTCTTTCTCTGCGACCTGCCCGGGTTCACCCTGTAGGACAAGTGCTCTGCCTGTTGGGGCCCTATAATACTTGCCTTCCTGTGCGTAGTTTTCGCGGGACGGCAGGGATGTATCTTCAAGATTCAAGATGCGACCATGGTCACACTGAGCAGCGTGTGCGCTTCCCCAGCTTTGAACAAATTGTGAAACTGACTGCATCGTCCTTCTACTCGCACGTAACTCACAGCCATTAGCCCGAAGCCTTATGAAAGCTCTGGTTCCAGCCTGGTCTATGAGTCCAAGCCGCATCACACGTCAGCAAAGCCACTTCAAGCTACCAACAGATCAAACTGCTGGATGCTGCAGTACCTATCTTTGTTTCATGCGACAACACAGGAAAGGAAACCCGCTAAGCCAGGACTGCTTTGCCTACCCGGCCAGCACATACTCCAGACTGACTCCACACTGGCAAACAGAACACGCCTGCTTTCGATCACTCAGAGCATCTTACCGGATCGTCTAGTGCCCCGGGCAAACACAGGGTTCGTCCGTGCTATTCATAGACCAGTCTTGATTGCATTGTTCAGGTCCCGGAGTTGACCCGAACTTTGGCGTAGGTCGTCGACTCTTCAGACTTGTGT